ATTGAGGGGGAGTGAGACGTGTCTCTTGTCTAGTGGGTTCTAGGCAGAAATTGCATTGGGTAGAGATTAAGTGAGGAGTTGTAAACTGAGAGTTTAACTCTAAATTAATTCTACTGATAGTAAATTTTCTCCCTGGCTTGGTAGCCCCCAGACGTAGGTGTGGTTTCACCGAACTGGGTTAACAATTGTTGTGTCTCTTTACAAGTGTTTGTGTTTATATTTGTTCTTATTATACAGATATTTGTTTCGGGAAATCTCCTTCGACATCTAATATTTGATACTAGAATTTCAGCAAGGACCAAGGTTGCAATGATGGGTCAGTGTTAATCTCTGAACACACTTTATCACGTGATGACTTATGCTATAGTTTCTTCATAGAGTCTGCTGGGATACAACTACTAATTCCCTTTGTAGCAACGATTTTTCAAACTAGGTTTCACCTAACCCTACAGTTTGGTGAAACATCCCAACGTCTCCCAACGTGTCTTTTAAAGCTTCTAGAAGGACTCTACTATTGCATCTTCAATGATTTTTTTCCTCATTATTTAAGGAACTAAAATACTTGAAGATTGATACACAAGTGTACAACATCGCATACACGCTGAACATGCTAAACAACGATTAACAACTGAAGATAAGCTACTATGTCAAAGTTTTAGCACAAGTTAAACTTAGGATTTCTTATCCTTGTATATCTTAGAAATACCTTAGTCTCAAACGAGTCCTATTGTGTTGTATTATTTATACACCTCTGATTGTATATCAAGTGTATTCACTTAACAATCATTTATTAGTTAGGTAGTTTGTTAGAAGTCTCTTAATAAGTTTTTGAGCAAGGAAGTCTCATACTTGTGTGTGTTCAAGGAAGTCTTGAGCCTGTGTGCTTGAGCAAGGAAGTCTCATACTTGTGTGTGTGATCAAGGAAGTCTTGAGGTTATGTACTTGAGCAAGGATGTCTCGAACTTGTGTGTTTGAGTAAGGAAGTTTTATACTTGTATGTGTAAGCAAAGAAGTCTCTTGCTTGTGTGCTTGAGCAAATTGTAATCTTGTGTGATTATAGTGAAAATCTCTTGTAAGTACAAGGGGACTGGATTACTCTTGATTTATGAGAGGGACTAGGATAACTTTGTGTGTTGTCATTCTTTCTTGCACTTCATATCTGCTGCCTATATGTAACTAACTAAAATTTTATAACATTGTGTTTAGAATCTGATTGAAGAGTTTTAAAAGAAAGAAAAAACTAACATAATTCAACCCCCTTCTTGTGTTTTTCTCACCTTCAACTTCTTCAGGTGTTTTCATTCCTAAGGAAGACGAGGGACACCTATTTATTAGGTAACCTACAATCATGACTGCCTCATCCCAAAACACCTTCTTTAATCTCGCACTAACCAATATGCACCTCACTCTTTCCAGAATGGTTCGATTAAACCTTTCAACCAAACCATTTTGTTGGGGAGTGCCTGCAGTAGTTATGTGCCTTACAATACCATACGCAATATAATAGTTGTTGAAAACCTCATTACAAAATTCAAGAGCGTTGTCAATCCTCAACCTTTTGACCTTCCTACCGGTTTGGTTTTCGACCGGAGTCTTCCAACTTTTGAAATTTTCAAAAGTTCATCCTTAGCTTTTTGAATGAATACCCACTACTTTCGTGAGTAATCATCAACTATGGATAGAAAATATCTTGCACCTGAGTGTGAAGGATTTCTTGCAGACCCCCAAAGACCAGCATGGATATAATCAAGGGATCCACATGTTCTTTCTTTACCTTTGTTAACCTTCACCCTACAGGATTTACCAAATACACAAGGTTCATAAAACTCCAATTTTCCGACCTTGTTACCACATATCATATTTTGTTTCGACAATTCGACCACACCTCTTTAGGTGACGTGGCCAAGTCACTTGTACCTAGACATGTCAACATAACACATACTCGCAGATACCCATCTGAACCCGTCCCAAATTTAACGAGGAAAACTCGCTTTGATTGGGTGGGTTCGGGTTTGGGTTTTGCCCCAATTATAAAATATAGGGACGAGTTGGGTAATGAGGACACTATTACCCACCCGAACCGCCCCGTTTATTTTTTATGTACTTTATTATTTTATTTTAGATAATTTAAAATATTAAATATGTGGTTAATATTTTGATATTTTGATCTGTATTTATTATTTAAAATATTTGAAATGTATGCATGAAATTTTTTGAGATTTTTAAAATTTTATTATTTATAATGTAATTTGATTTAAGAAAATTAATATTTTTATTAAAAAAATCGATTTCACTAAATAGATGGTGGATGGACGGGGATACCCGAACCCAACTCGAACATGTTTGGGACAAGTTTGGGTTTTAATTCTCCATCCCCGATGGGGATTAGGGAGGGGAACATGAATTGTTTTAGGAGTCAGGTTTGGATTTAGGAGAGGTAAAAACCGCCCCCGACCCACCCCTTTTGCATGCCTACTTGTGCCATAACTCAACCTTCGACACATGTTTGACCACTTACAACCTCAACCTCCAGGGTATCATGCCTTGCCTCTTGATGACTCTCAAGAATTCCTTCGACCCCTTCATTATCCTTAGGATACTTTACTCTCCTTTGAAAGCATGTCCTTTTTTGTCAAATTCACTAAGAGAAATCAAATTCCACTTAAGTTCAAGTACATACCCGACATTACATCATGAAGCTTGAATATGACAGATCTAATTCTTGCAATCTTGCAAACTTTGTTGTTTTCCAGCAGCATTGATCCACCATTTTGATCACATAGTTCCTCAAACACGCCTTTGTTTGAAGTCATGCGCCAAGCACAACATGAATCCATATTCCACTCCTTGCTAGAGTCACTACTTGAAACCATTAGGACATCAGATGAATCATAATCATCTTGAATAATGAATGCATTACCATTATCCTTTCCACCGTGATTATTCAGATGTTCAAGGCACACCTTCCTTGTATGATCATCCTACTTACAATGATAACACCTAATTGAATGAGCATTACCACCATAAGAAATTTGTAGAACTTTATCATTCTTTCTCTCATACTTACCATCTTTCTTTGTGAACTTTCCTTTAACGATAATCATTCACCAGCAGAAGGTGGTTTATGCTCCTTTATTTCATTCAGGTTCTTTGACTACAAGGTTGATTGAACTTCTTTAAAGGTCAGAGTCTCGCTTCCATACATGAGAGTTTCTTTAAAGTGAGCATGACATCTTGGTAAAGCACATAACAACAACAACAACGCTTGTTCTTCATCATCAATCTTGACTTTGATATTTTCAAGATCAAGAATTAACTTGTTGAACATATCCAACTGCTCAACCAATACTTTGTCTTCAATCATCTTTAATGAATACAAAACTTGCTTCAGGTAGAGATGATTGACCAAGGATTTGGTCATATATAATCCCTCGAATTTGCTCCACACATCCGCTACTGTTTTCTCCTTCGAGACTTGTCGGAGAACCTTATCACCAAGGCTCAATATGACGGTGTTGTGGGATTTCTCGATCATTGTCATCTTCTCCTTATCCGTTAGGGAAGCATTCATCTTCTCTGATCCTTTCAACGCTTTTAACAGACCCCGCTGAGCCAGTAGGGCTTGCACCTTCAAGCGTCATAAATTGAAATCATTCACACCGGTGAATTTCTCAATCTCAGACTTTGTTGACGACATCTTCTCCTCCATACTCATTGCACTAAAGTGTTGTGAAAAATGATGTTCATAAAACAGAGTATGATCGATTTCTTGATTAATAAGAAAACTATAAAGTAAAGGAAAAGAGATAAGAAAAAGAAAGACAATTCAAAGTGGTTAAAAACTGGATTACTGATTCAATTACACATTAAGGAACAATGTTTACAATTGAATCCCAATCACACTATTTTCTCCCTTTGATTAGGATTATCATGGATTGATGGAGAAGTGATGACTAATATGCTATTTATAAGAAAATCAAACCATAACTTTAACCAACATACTAAACAATTAGCTCAACAGTTTGCCCCAATTCGACATGCTAACTTAAACAACAAGCTAACATATTTTGACTGTTACACTAGCTCTTCGACTTCAACAGAGCTCTTCGATTTCGACAGAATTTGCTACAACACTATCTTATAACTCATATGCTACAATTAGAGAGATTCACCATCTATTATGATATTTTCGGTTTGAGTGATTAGACTTTGTAATTGCATGTAGAGAATATTTGATCTAAAAAAATAGCCAATTTAATTGATCAATTAATATATATTAATAAAAAATATATGAATAAGATGGAAGATAATATGTTGGTGATGAAAGTGATATTAATTAAACGATGTAATTGAAAATTAATATTAAAAAAGTAATAATTATTTTTTGATAATTTTTTTTACAAACGAGTTTGTTATTTTGAGATAGAAAAAGAATGAAATCTTGACATTTATATTTATTTATTATTAAATCAATAATTATTTACGGTATGATTTTAGCTTGATCTTCAATCCCTTTTAATGTCAACTTTGTGATTTTCACGACAATGGATCTTGGTAATTTCTTCAAAATAAATAATAATCATCAGTAATAATTTTATTTATTTAAGACTTAAATTTGGATTTTCTCGATAAATTTATTTTTAATTGAAATTCATTAATTACTCAAACCTAATCATCACTTAACAATAATGTTAATTTTGTGTTAGTAACAAAGAGTAGATAAGGCCCCACCTCAAGGATAGATATGGATAATGACATTAGTTACATAATGTAGGCAGTTCCAAGATATTTTCCGTTAGCAGTTGCAACGTTCTTAATTGCTTACCTAATTTTCCTTCTAACATTAATTCAGGAAATAAATAAAAAATACTAGGCGCTAATTTCTGGCATCATTACATTTGGCGGTTGAACCAGAGAACAAGCAAATCTCAATCCTTTTTCTACAAATAATCCATTTTTCTTCTTCTTCTTTCTCGTCTCTATTGTTACGATTTTCGAATATGGAAGGGGTAGATCACTTAGCTTTCGAAAGGAACAAAGCTCAATTCGATGTTGACGCCATGAAGATCGTTTGGGCCGGTTCTTCTCACGCTTTAGAAGTTTCCGATCGAATGTCTCGTCTCGTCGCCAGCGATCCGGTTTATTTCTTCCTCACCTTTTCAGTTTTGTTTATTCTGTAAAATTTCATTTCTGAAATGATTTTGGTAATGCAAATGGATTGTTGTATTGTAGTGTTAATGTGTAGGTTTGTGCACTTTCTCTGTTATTGGAGTTTGTGATAAGTGGTGATTTTCAACTTTTTAAAAAAAAAGTTGTATGAAACGTTTGATTGTCTTGTGTAGGCATTTAGAAAGGATAATAGAGCCATGCTTGCCAGGAAGGATTTATTTAAGAACACTTTGAGGAAAGCAGCTTATGCAATGAAAAGGATTATGGAGCTTCGTCTTAGCGGTGGCTTATATTCTTTAGTTTGAATTTGGTATCTATCTTGTTGATTTCTTTAATGGGAAGTTGCCTAATACTGTTTTTTTTTGCTACTATTTATCGCATAGAGGAGGAAGCTTCTATGCTTAGATCCTTTGTGGATGAGCCTGCTTTTACTGATCTTCATTGGGTACACTGCAATTTCTTGTCATGGTGGCATGGATATATTTATTGGCTTAATCATTTCTAAAGAGATAGTATGGCATATTGATCTAGCATGTGTCTTCTTTTTCAGGGAATGTTTGTTCCTGCTATCAAAGGTCAAGGAACTGAGGAACAGCAGAAAAAGTGGCTGCCTTTGGCACTAAAGATGCAAATAATTGGTTGCTATGCCCAAACTGAACTTGGCCATGGATCTAATGTTCAAGGGCTAGAAACAACAGTAACATTTGATCCCAAAACAGATGAATTTGTTGTTCATAGCCCCACATTGACTTCTAGCAAAGTGAGTAAAATGGGAGATGGCTTATGAGAGCCTTTATTTGTCTTCTAAGATGCATGATGGGTCTAGAATCTCAAGATGTTGACGTTTCATTCATAAGCACAATCGGAGAAAAGTAGCTTGCTCTTGTTCCCCCCTTTTTTGCTATTTACCATGCATACTTGTTTTAAAAAGTATTTGGTGAGCATGATATTTTAATATATAACTATTGGAATTATTGTAACTCTTTTGATGCTGATTTGAATAGTGGTGGCCTGGTGGATTGGGTAAAGTGTCAACACATGCTGTTGTTTATGGCCGCCTAATTACTGATGGTCAGGATCATGGAGTGCACGGTAATGACATGCCTTATTCTTCCAAATTTTTGTTTTAATATTTAGATTTCAATAAGTTAACAATATGTCCAATTGGAATATTGGAAGGCTTCATTGTTCAACTGCGGAGCCTGGATGATCACTTACCTCTTCCCGGCATAACTGTTGGTGATATTGGAATGAAATTTGGAAATGGAGCATATAATACTATGGACAACGGGGTTCTGAGGTTTGATCATGTACGGATTCCAAGGGATCAAATGTTAATGAGGTTTGTTTGTCTTACCCATATTACTTCTCTTACCTCAAGTGAGGAAAATCCAATAATCATGTTCGTAGTTGGGGGTTTAGGGTATTTGATTGATACTTTATCTGCATTGCATATCTAGTCCCTTTCATTTGTAAACATTAGTAACAACATTGGATTTTTAAATAGTGGAAAGTTGATGGGTAAAGATCACTTGTCTTTGTAATTTAGATAAATTTGAATGGGTGGATCTATGACAAGATTTGCATACAGTAAACTGACTTGGTTTTTGTTAGAATTAAGTAAACCTTTAGATATTCTAAATTGCTAGTATTCCTAGAATACACAACTTCCTAGGTTAGTGCATTTTCATTAACATTCCATGTATTTATTGTAACACCATTATTATAAATACAAATAGGTGATCTGAGTATAGGCACACAAATTTTAGAGAACGCCATATTGTATCAGTAGTGGTTCATCCTAGGGTTGCTCTGCATTTTTCTTCTTGAATGTATCATCTGTCCAGCCATTGCTTTATACAATTTTCAACTGTGCTATAACCAGTTGGCCCCTTATCAAGTGCAACCCACCGCTGTAAAATCTTCCGGCGAGCACACCGGTCATTTTTCTGCCGTCGTATTCCTCCCCGTGTGCCACTTCAGCCACCAACTTTCAGCACCAACCATCGCAGGGTCCTCTCTGCCACATTCCAAGGTGTTTTTCATCAATTTGGTGATTTTTCAGCAATCATTTGTCTCTCATCGCACATAGATCGTCATGTCTGGATTCGGATATGCTGTTGCCTCTTCTTCTGCTTTCAATTTCACTACGCGCCCTCCGATTCTTGCAAAAAATTAGTAGGCATTTCCTATTATGCAGGTTGGGCTGGTGCTGTTGAAACTAAAAAGTTGATGCCAGAAATGCAAACTACGTTCCCTGTTGTCTCTGTTGCTCATAATGGCAATCCTATTGCTTCAGTTGCAAAGTATTCTCTACTCAGACCTTGGATCCTTGATTCATGTGCCTCTGATCATATGGCAGGTAACAAATTGCTTTTCTCGTAGTTGACTTATATGGATTCAACTCTTTTCTCCAGATATTCGTCGATACATTGTCCCTAACGTTGTTAGCTTCTTCGAGATTTGTCCTTCCTTTCCTTCTATTCCTGAATACCTAATAATTATGGTCAGTCACAATTTCTCTTTCCAGAGCTCATAGCTATTCCAATTGCACCCGCACCAATCTCTATCCCTGCACCTTTCTGTATCCCCACACCCGACTTTCCTACCTATCAACAGAGGCCATGTCCACCACCCATCCCTCAAGTCTCATCCACTGCTCTGTCGGATTCTCAACCTTTGCATCCTACACTGGTCATCTCTGAATCCTATGCCTATTTATGCGTGCCATTTAGATCACCATCTGTTATCTACATCCTACTCTGCTTTTGTGGTTTTCTTGGATTCTGTGTCTATTTTCAAAACTACAGCTGAAGCTATGTGTAACCCTGGATGGTGACAAGCTATGATCGTTGAGATGGCCGCTTGCACTCCAATGATACTTGGGATTTAGTTCCTTTACCTGATGGAAAAACTACAGTGGTTTGCCAATGGATCTATACAGTTAAAATTGGGTATAATGGAAAGATTTACCGCCTAAAAGCTCGTCGCATAGCGCGAGGATACACACAGATCTTTGGCCTTGACTATGGAGATACCTTTTCTCCCGTTACCGAGATTGCATTTTTCTGCTTTTTTCTTGCCTTAGTTGCCATTCATCAATGGCCCCTCTATCAACTAGACATTAAAAAACGCCTTCCTACATGGTGAATTACAAGAGATGTACATGGCGCAACCACCAGGATTCAGTGTCAGTGATGGTGCTTCTTACCTCATATGTCGACTTCGTCGATTTCTTTATAGCCTGAAACAATCTCTTCGTGCTTGGTTTGGTAGGTTTAGCACTGTGCTCCAAACTATTAGAAGTAATTCATATTTATTAGTTGTACTATTTTCTTAGCCCCTAAGTTTGTTAGAGGGTATTTTAGTATTTTTATCTTATTCTAGTAACCCTAGTATTAGCTTATAAATATGGTATCAATCATTGCAATTTTGAGGTAGTGTGTGTAGCCGTCATTCTCTTAATAGAATATTTCTCTATTCATCATTTATTCTACCTTTGCACCAACAATTGGCATCTAGAGCTCCGGTTCGGATTCATTGGGAAACACGAGTGAACGTGAGGTCTTGTGTATTTGATTTTGATTCTTAGATTCGTGTTGAATCTTGAACAAAATCTGATCAGAATTTTAATTCTGTGGGTTGGGAAACACTGTGTGAGAAATCTGAGTGTACTGTGCAAGGTAGAAGATGAACGGAAACGGCAACATGAACACCAAACTTCCAGTATTTGACGGTAAAAACTGGAATCGTTGGATGATCCAAATGCGTGTACTGTTCGGTGCTCAAGATGTTCTAGATCTTGTCGCTGATGGTTATGTTCCAGTAGCAGCAAATGCAACAGATGAACAGAAAAACGCGCAGAAGGAAGTAAGGAAGAAGGATCAGAAAGCATTGTTCTTCATCATCAATGTGTGGATGTAAATGTGTTTGAGAAGATTGCAGATTCAACGACAGCAAAGGCTGCGTGGGACACACTGGTGAGATGTTATGGTGGTGACGCATCAATGAAGAAGGTGAAGCTTCAGTCCTTGAGAAAGCAATATGAGAATCTCAACATGAAGAATAATGAGAAAGTCTCTGAATACATCTCCAGAATGATTCTGATCACTAATGAGATGAAGGCGTGTGGAGAAACTCTTTCTGAAGAAGCAATCATTGAAAAAGTATTGAGATCCCTTACCCCTCAATTTGATTACATTGTGGTAGCAATAGAACATTCCAAAGATCTGAGCACCATGAGAATTGAAGAGCTGCAGAGCAGTCTAGAAGCGCAAGAGTTGCGTTTGACTGAGAGAACTTCTGAAAAGGAAGTAGAGCAGCAGGCTCTAAAAGTAACTTCTGATAGGAGGTATCAGAAGCAGTTAGAAGCCAGGAGAAGATCCGATGGTGGTCAGAAGTCAGAAAGCTCAACCTCTGATAGATAAAAGAATGCTCAGAAGGGAAAAAAGAAGTATGACAAGAAGAAGATCCAATGTTACTGTTGTAAGAAGTTTGGTCACTTTGCTAGAGATTGTTGGTCAAACAAGGAGAGAAAATCAGAAGAAGCAAATATAGCCAGAAGTTCTGATGACGAATCTGTGCTATTGATGGCTTCTGAATCTGATAATATGGATCTGATAGATTGGTGGTATATGGACACTGACTGTTCAAATCATCTTACTGGAAACAAGAAATGGCTGGTTGACTTTGACTCTGAAAAAAGAACAAAGATCAGATGTGCTGATGATAAATATCTTAATGCAGAAGGTATGGGAAATGTCAGAGTGATTCTGAACAATGGAAAAACAACATTGATTCAGAACGTGTGGTATGTAACTGGCATCAGAAGCAATCTGATGAGTGTGGGACAATTAATTGAGAAAGGTTTTTCAGTTACCATGAAGGACAATCTTCTGAAACTGTATGACTGCAATCAGAAGTTGATTATGGAGTCAGAACAGGGAAGGAATAGAACATTCAAGGTGAATGTCAGAACTGCAGACTCAGAATGTCTTAGTGCAACAAGTGCTGAGAAGGAGAGTGAGTTGTGGCACAAAAGATTTGGTCATTTGAATTTCAGAAGCTTAAAGCATCTGAATTCAAAGAAGTTGGTACATGGAATTCCTATAATTAAGAAGCTTGAAAAGTCATGCAAAGTTTGCATGGAAGGAAAACAACCACGATTGCCATTTGCGTCAGAAGCTGCTCCAAGAGCAAAACATGCCTTGGGAGTTGTACATTCTGGTGTGTGGTCCATTTCCAGTAGCATCAATTGGAGGGAATAAATACTTTGTGTTGTTTGTTGATGAATTCATAAGAATGACATGGGTATCCCTTATTAAGTTTAAACATGAGGTGTTTGATGAATTCAAGAAGTTCTGAATGAAGGCTGAGAATCAGAGTGGTCAGAAGTTGAAGATTCTTAGAACTGATGGTGGAGGTGAGTATAACTCCAAAGAATTCCAGAAGTTATGTGAGGAGAATGGAATTGAGCATGAGGTTACTGCTCCTGATACCCCTCAACACAATGGTCTTGCTGAAAGAAGAAACCGCACTTTGCTTGATATGGTGAGAAGCATGCTAAAGGAGAAGAAGCTTCCTCAGAAGCTCTGGGGAGAAGCTGTTGCCACTGCAACGTATGTACTGAACAGATGTCCTACGAAGAAGTTGAAGGAATTAGTTCCAATACAAAAGTGGATTGGAGATAAGCAAAGTGTTAGTCATCTGAAGGTGTTTGGTTCTGTTTGCTATAAACATGTTCCAGAAGTCAGAAGACTGAAGCTGGATGATAGAAGCAAAGTGATAATTTTGATAGGGTACCACAGTACAGGTGCATACAAGCTCTATTGCCAGAAACCAATAAAATTGAATTCAGCAGAGATGTGATTGTGAAGGAATCAGAAGTTTGAAATTGGGATAAGTCTCAATCTGATTCTGATGTTAGAACTTCTGAAGAAAGGTCAGAGTTAAGAATTTCTGAAGTTGGAGTAAATTCTGACGTTGATTCTGACTCTGATAGTGATTCTAACTCTGGAGAAGACTCAGAAGATGAAGGTGACTCTGATGATCCAGACTCTGATGGTAATCCAGATTCTGGTGGCAATTCAGGCTCTGAAGATGGCCAAGGAAGTCAAGCCTCTGAAGCTAGAAACTCTGAAGCTCAATACTTTGAACAAGTTCAGAGACCACAAAGAATCAGAAACATTCCCAGAAGATATGCAGAATTTGACATGCTGCAAGACACTGAAGTAGACTCTGAAGGAGAAGTTATTCAGTGTGCCATGATAGTAGACTCTGAACCCATAAGTACAGAATAGGCTCTTAAGCAGAAGCTCTGGCTGAAGGCCATGAAAGAAGAACTTGATGCTATAGAGAGAAACAAGACTTGGAAGCTGACAGAACTTCCAAAAGACAAGAAAGCCATCAGCGTCAGATGGGTTTTCAAGCAGAAGTTAAAGCCAGATGGTTTAATTGGCAAACATAAAGCAAGGTTGGTAGCCAGAGGATTTCTACAGAAACTTGGGCTGGATTATTCTGAAGTGTTTGCACCTGTAGCAAGACATGAAACAATTAGAATGGTGATTGCAATAGCTGCTAACAGGAATTGGCCTCTGATGCATTTAGATGTAAAATCTGCATTTCTGAACGGTCCATTAGAAGAAGAAGTTTACGTGTCACAACCTCCTGGATTTGTGAAAAAGAATCAGGAAGGGATTGTGTACAGATTATATAAAGCTCTATAATTTTCAAGCAGAAGTTAAAGCCAGATGGTTTAATTGGCAAACATAAAGCAAGGTTGGTAGCCAGAGGATTTCTACAGAAACTTGGGCTGGATTATTCTGAAGTGTTTGCACCTGTAGCAAGACATGAAACAATTAGAATGGTGATTGCAATAGCTGCTAACAGGAATTGGCCTCTGATGCATTTAGATGTAAAATCTGCATTTCTGAACGGTCCATTAGAAGAAGAAGTTTACGTGTCACAACCTCCTGGATTTGTGAAAAAGAATCAGGAAGGGATTGTGTACAGATTATATAAAGCTCTATATGGATTGAAACAAGCGCCCAGAGCTTGGAATCAGAAGATTGGTTCATTTTTCAAAAAGCAAGGCTTTCAGAAATGTGAGATGGAGTACGGTGTTTATGTTTAGCATACTTCTGAAAGCAATATGACTCTGGTGTGTTTATATGTTGATGACATACTGCTGACTGGAAGTTCTGAACAGGAGATAGCCAAGTTCAAGAAAGTTCTGATGAATGAATTTGAAATGACTAATCTAGGCAAAATGACATACTTTCTAGGGATGGAGTTCAGATATTCTGAGAAAGGTATCATTTTGCATCAGCTCAAGTATGAATTAGAACTTCTGAAGAGATTTGAATTGAAGAATTGTAAGATTGCTGTCACACCTTCAGATACAAATCAGAAACTGGATTCTGACTCTGATGGAAAGAATGTGGACACTACAACCTTCAAACAGTTGGTTGGCTCTCTGAGGTATCTGTGCAATACCAGACCTGATATTTGCTATTCTGTTGGGATGGTTAGTAGGTTCATGAGTAAACCTAAGTGGTCCCATTACCAAGTTGCTGTCAGGATTCTGAGGTATATCAAGGGAACTCTGAAGTATTGAGTGTTGTTTCCTTTTGTAAGAAGGGATGAGTCAGAACTTCTGAGTTATTCAGATTCTAATTGGTGTGGAGACAGAGTTGACAGAAGTACCTTTGGGTACTTGTTCAAATTTCTGGGAGGTCCCATTTCTTGGTGTTCTAAGAAGCAACCTGTTGTGGCGTTATCAACCTGTGAAGCTGAATACATTGCAGGTGCTGTTACTGCATGCCAAGCTGTGTGGATTTTGAATCTGTTGCAGGATCTGAAGATTAAAATAAACAAACCTCTGAAGTTGATAATTGACAACAAGTCTGCAATCAATCTTGCCAGAAACCCAATGTTCCATGGGAGAAGCAATTATATTGAGACAAAATATCATTTTCTGAGACATCAAGTTTAGAGTGGAGTGTTAGAAGTTGTACACTGCAGCACTCAGAAACAGTTGGCAGATGTTCTGACGAAAGCCATCAAGACTGATCAATTTCTCATACTAAGGGATGGAATTGGTGTTACAAGTTTTGATGGAATATGAATTAAGGGATGGTATTAGAAGTAATTCATATTTATTAGTTGTACTATTTTCTTAGCCCCTAAGTTTGTTAGAGGGTATTTTAGTATTTTTATCTTATTCTAGTAACTCTAGTATTAGCTTATAAATAGGGTATCAATCATTGCAATTTTGTAGTAGTGTGTGTAGCCGTCATTCTCTTAATAGAATATTTTTCTATTCATCATTTATTTTACCTTTGCACCAATACAAACCGCCTCCAACCCGGTTTTTTCATGAAAGAACTATGCACATAGAGATCGATTTTCACTTTGTAATTGATAAGGTTCTTTCAGGAGAAATCATAATTGATTTTGTTGGTTCAAATGATTAGTTGGCTGACATATTTACTAAATTCCTTAGAGCACCTTGGGTTGAATCTATTTGTAACAAGCTTGGTGTATATGACGTATATGCCCTATGAGGAGAAGTGTTAGAATTAAGTAAACCTGTAGATTATCTAGATTGTTAGTATTCCTAGAATATACAACTTCCTAGGTTAAAGTTTAGCGCTTCATTGACATTCAATGTATTTATTGTAACACCATTATAAATACAAATAGTGTGATTTGAGTATAGATTCACAGAAATTACAAAATTCTATAGTTTTCACGCATTTTAAATTGTCTGTGCTTATATTTTCATGTCAATATATCTAGTATGACTGTTTTTCTTTAATTCTACCAGGGTTTCACGGGTTACAAGGGAAGGAAAATATGTACAATCAAATGTTCCGAGACAATTAGTTTACGGTACTATGGTATATGTGAGACAAACAATCGTCTCTGATGCGTCGACTGCTTTGTCGAGAGCTGTTTGCATTGCTACAAGATATAGCGCTGTTCGAAGACAGTTTGGAGCAACTGATGGAAGTCAAGAATCACAGGTGATTTGTACAAGCTTTCTGTTGCTGCAGAATCCTGGTTGCTGCTGGAGCCTGGAGCAATCTTATTTTCTAATAGACATTCCTGGGATTTTCTTTTAGTTAAAAAGAATCATGCAATGCAATAAAAAGGGGTTGTATCCCAAAATCATAGAATAAAAATTGAAAATCCACCAGTTTGTTTAATGTGATTTTTCTGCTGATTTGGACTGAGCTTATTTTATTGGCAGAAATCTTTCAGAAAAAAAAATTAAGATGATTATTTATGGTAAAGTTTTTTAACCAAACATGAATTTTAGTAGGAGACTTCAATTCCAATATAATACACATGCTGTTTATAATGGGAAGGTGGATGGGTTTCATACTCTTCTTGGACATGAAACTTATGATATTGAGATGTGTATTTAGATACATTAACCAATCAAAATTACAATCTGTGTGTCTGGGTTTACAACATTGTGTGCATAAAAGTTTAAGTCAATAAGATACTAGGTTGATACGTTTTTTTTCCTACCAATGTTTGTACCTCTTTTATCTATTCTATAATGTCTGCCTCAGTCTCTGCTATCTTTGTTATCCCTTTTAGGTGATAGATTATAAAACACAACAAGCTAGGCTCTTCCCTTTGCTGGCCTCTGCTTATGCTTTCAGATTTGTTGGTGAGTGGTTGAAATGGCTTTACACGGATGTGATGACAAGATTGCAAGCAAATGATTTTTCAACATTGGCCGAGGCTCATGCATGCACTGCAGGGTTGAAGTCCTTGACCACCTCAGCAACTTCTGTATGTGATTGATTATCAATTCTTATGTCCATTTCTCAACCTCTTGATTTTTGTTACTGGATTAAGTGATTATCTAGCTCCATTTTATAGAATGTATAGTACATGTTTTTTTTTCATTGTGTAATCCTTTGTAGATTTCGACAGGACACCTTTCCTGGTTTTCTGTGTTAATTAGTCATCTTTTAGTGTTTCCTCCCTCAAAATCCTCCTTACATGTTGAACTTCATTCTCTAACTTTTGAAACAGGTAAATCATACTTTATCGGACTTCTGTTTATCTCCGTGGGTTTTGTTGTTGTTTGAAATATGATGATAGTGGAGGGAGGGTTTGATGGGTGTGATCTAGCAACTGGGATAAAACTAGCAAATAAATTACTTTGATTTTTTTATTATGATTCTTCATGCACGTTAATTCTGTATCTCACTTATTGTCAATTGAAAGTTAAAATTTTAAAGCCAGATGCAAAGCATTTGTGGCAAGGTATTTTGTTCACTCAATTTTACATCAGAATTATTGTACATTTCATTCATTACATCTAATGAAAAGCTTAGTTTTTCTTCACGCACGTTTTTTTGCATCTCATCTATTTGTATGTTGGATTTCAGGCTTTATTGGTACTATTCCTCTCATATAAATGTTCCTCTTGTCTCTGATGTTACCGTTTTACTTTCAAAAAAATACCATTTTAATGTCCTAATACAATGGCATTCACTCCAAATTAAGTTCAATTCACTTCATTTTCCAGGACGGAATTGAAGAGTGCCGTAAACTATGTGGTGGCCACGGTTACCTTTGCAGCAGTGGTCTCCCCGAGTTATTTGCAGTCTATGTTCCTACCTGCACATATGAAGGAGACAACATTGTGCTGCTTTTACAGGTATATATATATCTTGAATATTTTCCGATTGCAGTATTACTGCTTTCTTGTTCTGGAGGGACAGTATTTTATATAGTTGAATGCAATGTGATCTCATTTTCATACATAATTGTGCATATCTTCATTTTTGGAGTAAGACCATTGTTTTTTTATTGGAATCCAAAAAAAATTACTTTCTAATTTTTAGTTTAGTTCAGGGCTGTCTGTAGTATTTATAATGGAAGGTTCCAAAAGGATAGAAATAAGTAAAATAATCATCATTAGTTATTTTTGCCTACTCTTATGTGGCAGTATCTTCACTCCTGGTGCCATTGGAATTGTGAGTTATTTGATATTTTTAACTGAGAATGGTCTAGAGTTGTTTGAAAACTTCTAGAAAATCCCTTGTAGGTTGCAAGGCATCTCATGAAGACTCTTTCTCGGTTGGGATCTGGAAAAAAGCCTGTTGGTACAGTAGCTTATATGGGACGAGTGGAACAACTGATGGAATCTCGGTCTGATGTTCAGAAAGGTATAAATATTTGACTGAGAATATAAAAATTCTGACTTGAATGAAAATTCTAACTTTTTTCAGTCTATTGATATCCCAAATCTAACAGATTGAGATGATATTACTAACTATACCTATGCTGTTCTGGAGTTATATAGAATATATTAAATATTATGTTAGCTTATCATATATGTATAAATGTTAGAATCGATAAGGAGTATGTTAGGAACAAATTTGGGATTGTATACCTGTATAATTAGAACCATAACAAATTAGCCATTATGACTAACACCAATATATATGAGATTGTGTGTAGACTAACACCAATGATTACACTATTTTATCCCTTATTATATTCCTAGAATTTGTAAGTTAATTATAAGTCATTTGATTGCTTGCAGCGGAGGATTGGTTGAATCCTAATGCAGTAATGGGAGCATTTGAAGCTAGGGCTGCTAGAAAGGCGGTCGCCTGTGCTAAAAACCTTAGCAAGATTAGCAATCCGGAAGAGGGTAAATGATTCAGCCCTGCTCTAAGTCACAGGCTATTTCCTCACATCTCTAATGGTTGATTTGTTTTCTTTGTGTCGGCTAGGAGTAGGGATATAAAAATATCTCGAGTGCATACTTCTATGTTGCATTTAATGTATCATGATCAGATGTCGACATTGTAAATGCTTATTGATTTTATGATTGCAGGTTTCCATGAATTCTCAAATGATCTAGTTGAGGCAGCTCGCGCTCATTGCCAGTTGATTGTTGTTTCCAAGTAAGATTCTTCTCATTTGTATGGTCCCACATGATCTCTGTAGTTTATCTGTAGTGTGATGAAACCTTTCCTTTTTCAGATTTATTGAGAAGTTGCAGCAAGATATACCTGGAAAGGGAGTGAAACAGCAATTAGAAATTCTTTGTAGCATTTATGCTCTGTTTCATCTTCATAAGCATTTGGGCGATTTTCTTTCAACTGGATGCATCACTTCCAAACAGGGTTCACTTGCTAACGACCAGCTAAGGTCCTTGTATTCACAGGTTTGTCCTAAATGAATTGCAATGCACTGGCTGCATCTAGTTGGTAGGTTTTTACAATATGAAACATACTGATAAAATGTTTGGATAGGTTCGTCCTAATGCGATTGCGCTTGTTGACGCATTTAACTACTCTGATCACTACCTAAGTTCAGTTCTTGGCCGCTATGATGGAAATGTGTATCCAAAGCTATACGAGGAGGCATGGAAGGATCCATTGAATGATTCTGTTATACCGGATGGCTTTCAAGAGTATATTCGACCAATCTTAAAGCAGCAACTTCGTAATGCTAGACTCTAAATAAATTTTATTATTGGACTGCCGAGGAAGAGGAAGTTATGTACACGAAGTTATCTAAGCTTTCAATAAAGACGAGTAATGGAGGTGTATGGATGGAAAAATAAAAATGTTTCATCACATGCAGGTGAAAATCCCAAGCAATTTGGTTTCCTTGGTGGCTGGCTATTATTCACCAGAAGAGCTTGCAGTTTGGTGCATGTCTAGCATCTTGTATCACGCTGTTCCATAGTAGAGACTAATGTCATAGACTAAAACCCCCGAGGACTTTTGATTATTTATAAAATTGTCCTAGCAGGACTTATTTAGATTTTCCTTTTATCTTACGTTTCTCTCTATAAATGTTAAGAAACTACTTACATCTAAATAAAATAACCTATTAGTCAAAATCGACCGACAGTTAAATTTAGGGTCAATTGAGTTTCTCTTAGTCGAAGGAAAGTTAAGCAGATACAAAGACATTTGAGTGTGAGTTAGTGGATTTTTTTCAAGTACACTAAGGTCCACTAACAATGGGGGATCTTTTGTTTAAACAATATATTATAATAAAATCTATAAATTTATGTATAATATAAACAAAAATTCTTTTGTTTAAACAATATATTATTAATAAAAAACACATAGATAATTATTAATAACATTAAATACTAGAAATTTCATTCTAAACAACATTATTTTTAACAAAATTAAAAATAAAAATTCATATATAATAAAAAGTTCTTACAAATTCTATTGTTTAATCTCATAAATCAAGGAGCTAAATTTCAATTTAGAGTATGATGTCTAAATTTAATAGAGTTTGTCTTTGATGTTTCTGTTCCTTTGAGCTTTGGTTGATAAAACGAGAATTTTTGTAAAGGTGAGATTGCGAGCTTTTTTATTTGAGTTTTGAAGAAAACAAAGAATGAGGAAAAAGAAAAGTTCTGACGCAATTTATGTGCCAAAATGTTCCCGATATATCTCCGGAAATATTTGACATATGGTGCGTTTAAAAATATATTTCCAAAACCAGAGGGTAAAAATAAAATTTTATGCGGTGCTTAAGAAATATATGGGGTGAGTTAAGAAATGCCAAAAAGAATTGTGTAAGTTTTGGCGCACAAACCTGGAAATGTAAAACTCATTTGTTCAATTTAACCACTTGTCATCGGTATAGCATGTAGCTTAGTAATAAACTCAAATTAAAATTACGAAAATTGCCCAAACCTAAAAGTATAAAACCCATTTGTTCAACTCAACCACTTACTTGCCATCGGTATAGCATATAGTTTAATATTACACTCGAATCAAAATCACGAAACTTGCTCAAACCTAAAAATGTAAAACACATTTGTTCTACTCAACCACTTACTTGCCATCGGTATAGCATGTAGTCAACGGCGGATCTTCCCCAAAATATTAAGGGGTGCAGTGAATATCGACTAAAATATTATAATAAAATTTATTAAATTTATATATAACAAAAAAAATCTTTTGTTTAAACAATATATTACTAATAAAAAATACATAGATAATTATTAATAACATTAAATACTAGAAATTTCATTCTAAACAACATTATTTTTAACAAAATTAAAAATAAAAATTCATATATAATAAAAATTTCTTATAAATTCTATTGTTTAATCTCATAAATCGATGAGTAACTTTCAATTTAGAATATGATGTCTAAATTTAATTTGATATTTAATTGAACGGATGAATCGATAATTAACTTCATTCTAATATTAAAATTTTAAAAATGTCATAGCGTTTGTTAACTTTTTTAAACAAGACATAAACTACTATCTTTTGTTCATTTATAATCAAACAACAAAAATGATCCAGCCAAATTACATTAAAATAAAAAAATTTAAAAATCATACTACTACTACTACTACTAATAATAATAATAATAATAATAATAATAATAATAATAATAATAATAATAATAATAATAATAATAATAATAATAATAATAATAATAATAATAATAATTTCAAGATGATTTAAGAAATATAAAAACTTATTTTTTTTAAAAGCGAGAATTTTCTATAAAAATAGGTTCGTTGTCTTGTTTTTATTATGATTATTTGACTAGAAGATATTTAGTATGAGTCATATTAGTCTAAAAATATTGGCCATTCAACGAAAAAACAGTGGCTTAAAAAAATCACCTTATTTAAAACTCATTCTAATTTACCATACTCTTATTCTTACACCAAGGTGTATACCTACACCGTATGAATAGTGCAATACAAATATATTAAAAAAATAACAACACAAAGAATACAAACTTGTCATTTTCTTCTGTGGGCCATAGTCAAATGTCAAGTGAATAAATTTATTGTTTCTCTCTCTTAACCTCAACAACATGCTGTATTTTATAACATAAACATGGCTGACTCATTCTTCTTCTTGATCATTCACGACATTTCGTTTCATCTTCAACTTGTCTCTTCATTTCATTTTTAACTTTTCTTTTCATTTCATCTTCAACTTTTCTTTATTTAGCATCATTATGTTATGAAGATGAAGATTTAACTTAGTAAGTTTCTAGATTCATGATTGTTCAAATGTTTTTAGATTTAGCACAATGTTAACCTAGTTTTCTTTACTGTTATTGATTTCATGATTATTCACGATTATTCATTAACCATGTTCTAAAAAGTATTGTCCTACTTTACTCACATCATTAACCATGTTTACCTACTGCTAAACGATTGAATATATTTACTCATGCTGGTTTGTTAACCAATTTGGGAAATGTATTACCCAACTTCTGTCACACCACTAACCAACTTCATAATAAACAATGTTATAAAGCTGCCCACATGTCTGGGCGTTCATTAACCAAGTTATAGACAATATTAACCATAATTTTGAACTATATTAACCAACATTGTTATAAATTTATACTATACATAATATTGACATTTATGTGCAGTTTTTAAGTCATAATGGACAGTTCAAGCATTTTGATAGAAGGTGATAGTAATCAAAGGGAAAATGTAGAAGTTGATCACGGCGATGGTGATGAATCACTTTGGGTTCCTGCAATTGGGATGTGTTTTTCATATCTAGAGGAAGTTAAAACATATTATCAAGAGTATGCTTTGAAAAAGGGGTTTGGATGGAGGATTAGATCATCGAAAAAATGAGACGACGGGGAGCTCAATTACCTGATACTTTCTTGTTCAAGAGAGGGGTCTAACATTTCAAAAATTTCATGCACGTTGAAGACACTTCCATCTAGAGCAAAAAATTGTCCTGCCAATATTTGTATTAAATTAAAACAAGATGGTTGGTGGTACATTACACAATTTGAGGCAAACCATTCTCATGAGGCTAGTCCTACAAAAGCAAGGTTTTTCAAGGCTAACAAGAAAATGAACTTACATGTAAGAAGAACAATTCAGATCAATGATGATGCGGGAGTAAGGATCAACAAGACTTTTCAATCGCTTGTTAAAGATGCAGGAGGTCATGAAAATATTCCCTTTTGTGAGAAAGATGTGAGGAATTATATTAACAAAGAGCATCGTGCGGTTGGAAAAGAAGGTGATGGTAAGGCTTTGATAAGTTATTTTTGTAAAATGCGGGAACAAAATACAAATTTCTTTTATGACATAGATTTAGATGATGATTTTCATGTGAGGAATGTATTTTGGGCGGATGCAAGAAGCAGAGCCGCGTACGACTACTTTGGAGACGTTGTAACTTTTGACACAACATACTTGACTAACAAGTATGACATGTCTTTTGCTGCATTCGTGGGTGTGAATCACCATGGTCAATCAACATTACTTGGTTGTGGATTGCTATCAGGTGAAGACACGACTCTTTTGTGTGGCTGTTCAAGTCATGACTTTGTTGTATGCTAGAAAAAGGACCTTTGGGCATTGTGACTGATCAGTGTAAGGCTATGAAAAATGCTATTGAGTTAGTATTTCCTACAACTCGTCATAGGTGGTGTTTATGGCATATAATGAAAAAAGTTCTAGAAAAGCTTAGCGGATATGGGGAATATAAAAGGATCAAGTATGCAATGAAAGAAGCAGTGTATGATAGATTCACAACAGATAGCTTTGAACAAACATGGTGTTCGTTCATAGAAAAATTTGAACTCCATGAAAATGATTGGTTGGATGGGTTGTATACCGAGCGTCATAGATGGGCACCAATGTTGTTAAGGAAATATTTTTGGGTTGGTATGTCAACTACGCAACATAGTGAGAACATATATGCTTTCTTTGATGGATATATCAATTCTACAACAAGTCTAAATCAGTTTGTAAAACAATATGATAATGCTCTTAGAAGTGAGGAAGAAAAGGAATTTTGAAGCTGATTTTGAAAAGGAATTTGAAGCTCTTAAAATCAGCTTCAAATTCCTTTTGTGTTGTTATTGCCGTATGACCTTAGGGATGATTTAGGGATGTTTTGGGGGCATGAGGTGTGTGAATCGTATGAGTTTTTGGGTAGAAATCAGTTCTGGTCGTAGCAGATTTTTATTGTCATCGCACTGTTCGCCTAGCGATCATGCCAGCGAAGACTCGCCACAGACTCGCCTAGTGAGCATGCTAGCGAAGACTCGCTACCGACTCGCCTAGCGAGCAAGCCAGCGAACATAGCAGAGTTCGCGAAATTTGATCGCTTTGTAGTGATGCCTTGATGTTTGATTATGAGATTTCTGAGATGAGTTAACATAAGTATTGTAACACCCAGTTTTCCCCAAAATAGAATAAAACAATTAAAATAAGCACATATCAGAGTTTTCCCCACAACGGAATGTCACAATTTTCAACAAAATTCCACAAATCATTTTTCAAAATAATATTCAGCGAAATTGCAATGGAAAAAGAACTAGTCTATCATAACACATATCATATGTACATCATCCATATCATCAACATTGTCATATACAACAATCGGCCATCTGCCCAAAACATACATAATGTCATCACATATCCCACAAAAATCAGATACGCCCCGGGGCACACAAAATCAACAAGAAACAATAA